GTCTTTAGTTGGTTTTCCAAATTCTGTTCAGCGTCGTAATTCACGGAACAAGTAAGGGGCTTAAATTCAAAACAGTGATAATATCAAATTGATAATTTCACTGTTTTAAACAATGAAAATATCAGTTTTATATTTCACTGATATATTTCTATAAACCACCAAAAAGCATGCAATAAAAGGTATTAATATGGTACTGCCTATCACCATAATAATATATAAACACACTGTATGAAGGATGTGATGATGAGGAAGAAATCGGCTCTAATGATGGACAGTCGGTACTCTACGATGATAGAGAATGCCTATTACTACAGTAATCCTCCAGACACGCCGCAAGTTGTTCGGAAAGTACGACCACCAATGCATGAGTATATCAGGAAACTTTTATATAAAGATCTGTCTAAAGTCACCACAGAAAAGGTATGTTTTTCACATTTATCCTGTTGCACAGACAACGATTAAAATTTTCGCCATGATGTTGTCTCATGCACTTTTACCTGGCTATGATCAGGACATATATCAGTGATTTTTATATGCCCGTTTCAAAAACGGGTCTTATTATAGTTTTTCCCCCTGGCAGGCGGCAGCATTTAATTTTTGACCGGAGCATATCTCCTACACGCATGGAGGAATTTTAATGAAACCTCATAGAAATGTTGTTGTGATTAATGCTTCTTAGGGATCAGTCTTTCTCCAGATTTTGTAAAAGTTATTAAATCCTACTTTTCTGAAATATATTCATTTATAGTCTATTTATTTTCATGTTGTTTAATTGAATTTGTATTTACAGGTTCTGCGTCAAATCAGGAAACTAAACTGGGATGATCCAGAGGTAATGTCATATTAATTTTTCTGTTTGAATATTGAATTTATCTAAATTTAAATTTCATTTTATTCATGTGATTATTACAGTTTGATCCATAACTCTGATGGCCCTTTGTTGTATTGCTTTTGTCCATCATTAATCTATCATACTTGTATACTTTTGTATGCTGACAGCATTAAGCTGCATAAACCAACATATTTTGGTCCCAGCTGCCTCAATACTGTTAGTTGATGGATTGTGATATTTTGGTAAGAATTGGGTCATTATTAAAAATAGAAGGTTATAAGAAGGGATTACATTTCTCGTTTTATATCATTCCTTGCCAGTAAAATCATAATGTAATGCAATATCTGTGGCAGTATGTTAGTTTTTTTTTTTTTTTCTAGATAGCCTTTTATACGACCAAGTGCCTCATTGCAGTGTGGAATATCAGGTTTAACTCTGTTCATTGTGCCGCCAATCTGCTAGCTGGTATAGCTCCATATCATGTAAGTTATAAACCAATAATTATGTTGATACATTAGTATTCAACCAATAATTATGTTGATAAGTAAGTTACAAACCAATAATTATCTTAATTAATAAGTTATAAACTAATAATTATGTTGATTAATAAGTTGTAAACCAATAATTATGTTGATTAATAAGTTATATACCAATAATTATGTTGATAAAAAAGTTACATACCAATAATTTTATTGATACATAAGTAACAAACCAATTATTATGTTGATAAGGCAGAGACAGGGACTTTAGATTCTTTCATGTTGGCGACATTTTCAGTGTTGGTGTCACATTTAATTTTGTTTTTGCATGCATATTGGTATCTCCAAAACTACTGAAGGGAATGGGTTGTAACTTTACACACTTGTTTTCTGTGATTATGTAACATGATGGGCACAAGTCCCATAACTCTGAGATACCTCTGTCAAGCACTGAGAATAGTTGAGCGAGCTGTCTTACTGACAGCTCTTGTATTTACTATTTACTTAGACTCAATATACAATGAACTTTGAGAGTTTTCAGGTATGAGTCCCAGTCTTAACATTGCTGTTGTCAATTTTGAATAAAGAAAACATGGTTGTGATCCTTTTTAATCCAAAACCACTGAGCCTGACTTCAAAAAATGACCCCTAAGTTTCATGTTTATTTTGGGGTCACATTACATAATCTTAATAAATGTAATTGCAATATATTCAAAGGATTGATTGATAATTATGTTCAGTGTTATTAACCCTTGTTTAGTTAGTCTTGGTGATTTTACAGGAGACAGTAGCAATACAGGTTGTTGATGGGGTTCTTGAAGATATAAGACTTGGGATGGAGGTAATAAAATTACATCAGTGTTTCAGAATAAGTAAAGAAAATGTTTTTATGCAAAAAACTGTTTAAAAGCCAATTTTTATTGTAAGTGGGTAAGAATTCCAATGGATGTTTATCTCTAAAGGAAGCGTTTAGTGTGTCGGTGAGAATTTCACTGGAGGTGTTGGAGAAAATATCCATGCCAGTTGGCATTTAATGAATTACAAGAAAATGCCAAATTGTACCAGAAATTAGGATTTTCCTCATGAGAACTAGTTTCTATTGTCATATTTTTTTGTGAAAATTGGATTTAATCTTGTGGCTAAGTACTTGAAAATTGTCATAGAACTGTTCCTGAATTTTCATGAAAAAAATGGATTAGATTTTGAGGATAGCTGCTAAAAAGTTGTAATAGAACCTTTGTTAAAATGAAAATTTGATTAAAAAGTTGTTATAATTTGTAAATTTTTCATGAAACAAATTGGAGGCTTGCTGCTTTAAATTTGTTGTTTGACATTGATTTTTTTGTTAACAAATCTTTTTGTCACAAAAATTGACATTCCAAGATAAATTAATCAAATGAAATGTAATGTTATATCTTAAGTTTCCATAAAACATTCATTTCAATAGTTAAATTTTTTTAAACAGATGTTACTTGATCAAATAAAATGTGATTTTTAGATCAACCATCCCAAGTATAACCAGAGAAGAGTTAGCTGTGCTAAATACCTTGGTGAATTATACAACTACAGAATGGTGGAATCTGCTGTCATTTTCAAAACACTTTATTCATTCATTACATTTGGTGTTTCTAATCAAGGTAAGCCCAGAAAACAGACATGATTTTAATTCTTAACAGCTTCATAGTTTTGTTTTGTAATACATGAGACATTGTGTATATTGAATCATTTTTTTAGCTCACCTGTCACAAAGTGACAGGGTGAGCTTTTGTGATCTCTTCTCGTCCGGCGTCCATCCATCGTCCGTCCGTAAACTTTTACTTTAAATGTCATCTCCTCATAAACCACTAAGCCAATTTCATCCAAACTTCACAGGAATGTTCCTTTGGTGATGACCTTTAAAAATTGTTCTAAGAATTTAATTCCATGCAGAACTTTGGTTGCCATGGCAACCGAAAGAAAAAACTTTAAATATCTTCTTTTAAAAAACCCTAAGAGCTAAAGCTTAGATATTTGGCATGAAACATCTTCTAGTGAGTGTCTACCAAGTTTGTTCAAATAAAAGCCCTGGGGTCAAAATTGGCCCTGCCCCAGGGGGTCATTGATTTTCCCTATATGCATATATTAAAAACTTAAAAAATTCTCTTTCAAAGAACCCAAAGAGCTAGAGCTAAGATATTTAGCATGAAACATCTTCTAATGAGTGTCTACCAAGTTTGTTCAAATAAAAGCCCCGGTGTTGCCCTGCCCCAGGGGGTCATTGATTTTCCCTATTTGCATATAGTAAAAACTTAAAAATCTTCTTTTAAAGAACTCAAAGAGCTAGAGCTAAGATATTTAGCATGAAACATGTTCTAATGGGTGTCTACCAAGTTTGTTCAAATAAAAGCCCTGGGGTCAAATTGGCCCTGCCCAGGGGGTCATTGATTTTCCTTATATGTGTTTAGCAAAAACTTAAAAAATCTTCTTTGAAAAAACCCAAATAGCTAGAGTTTAGATATTAAGCAAGAAACATCTTCTAGTGAGTGTCTAAAAATTCTGTTCAAATAAAAGCCCTGGAGTCAAAATTGGCCCCGACCCAGGGGTCATTGATTTTCCTTATATGTGTATGGCAAAAACTTAAAAATCTTCTTTGAAAAAACCCAAATAGCTAGACCTTAGATGTTTAGCATGAAACATCTTCTTATGGGTGTCTACCAAGTTTTTTCAATAAAAACCCTTGGGGTTTAAAATTGGCCAGTTTTTCAATGCAGCTTTTCCCGTTTTTGCTAATCCTTCAGGTTTTCCGAAGGCTTTTGGATGGTAATTCCCTCATTGACAAGGGGCCCCACCAAGCTTTGTATTTTTTGGCTTGACCTGAGGGGTTAATATACCCGTAGCTCATTCCATATAAACCCCATTAAGATCCGGGGTCGGGGTTTGGGCCCGTCAAAAAAAATACCCTGTTTTCCCAAGACTTTCGACGACATTTGGGTTATGGTACGAATAAGCTCCATCAAAATGAACCCATTACCAATTGTACAGCATCAACCTTACCTGGGTGTTGAGGATCTCATGAAAACCGTGGGGATCATTTGCCTTGTAAGGAAAAAGATGGGTACTCCCTCTAGCTTTCCCCCCCAGACCATTATTTTTCCCCCCATAGCCATCTTTCATTATGATCAGCCCCCCCTAAATCGTGTTCCCCAAGCTTGTGTATGGAAACCCTTCCCCCCCTTTTCCATACTCAGCAGCCTTTTTGTGTAGTTCCAGGCGCTTTAATGTCGGAGAAACTGCGAGTCCATCCGCTCCAACCAAAGGTCCCTTGCCAGTCATATGGGGCCAGCATGGTCTCTAGACATTGGTCTTTTTGATCGCGACCCCTTTTCTGAAAGTGTACGTATGGTTTGTTTTAGACTGCATTTCTCGCTTTTCAGTCATCAGTAACGGGTTGCAGTTGCAAAAACGGTTTCTTTATGCCGGATGACCAGAAAACGATCTCAGCCTCAGTTGTCACCCTTTGTTCTCCACCACCATGTCGTCTTACAGGTGTACCATGCTGTTGGAACCTTGCCCAGGCTCGGGGTGATAACCATATGGTCCACACCAAACATCTCATGATGTTGAGCCCCCTGCTACTTCATACCAACTGCCCCACCACAACTCTGCTTCTGATAAATGCATTCGCATTTTTCAATCTTAGAAGTGGAAAATGAAGAATGAACACCCTACACGTGTTGGTACGTGTATGCTGTGTCTTATAAAGAACGATCAAAATACAGGGGTCACCTTGTTTGCACTACTTGCACATTGCGAAATGGCCTTCATTTTAAGGTTATGTGTACATAGGGTACACTCTTGATACATTACTACACGATTTACAATGTAAATATCATAACATTATTTGATGTAGAATGCACGATGCTATGTGGAAAACTTGGTGCTTTGCAAATTTTGAGTACTATATAATAGGAGTTAAATAATTTTCTGCACTAAGGTTAAAATATATTGATCCTATTAACTAGTTCTTTGTAGCACTGCATTAAATTATTCCAATCATACAAATTTAACAATGGTAGCTGGTAAAATCTGTGTGTTTTTTTTAAAATAATTTGTTTTATTAAATTGCATTTTTTTTGGGCAAAAAACATTGGAACCCCCCAAAACATGAAAAAATGAAAATTTTTTTATTTATTTAAGAACAGATTTTTTATCTACTCATGGACACCGCCTTTATATTTTAATTATTTTAAAGTCCTCTGTGAAATTTTTTAAATCATTACATGTTAAAACAAACAAATATCTCTATTTGATATCAAATAATTGTTTGATATTGAGAGATTGAGGATATTTTACAAATAACAAAGACCTTAGTTTTTGACACCTTCAAGAATTGTAATATTGAATGTTTACATAGAAAATCACTTATTGGTATCAATAATTCAAATTGATGCATTACATTGAAATCCGTGTATTATATCTTAATTGTAAATTGAATGTGTTAATATAAATAATTTGATATCAATAATTTGTAAGCTCGAAGTGTTTTTACAATACAAATCCAGATTTTGATATCAATAATTTATAAGACTTGAATTTTATAACATACAATCTGGATTTGATTTAATATTGTAACCTTTAAATCAAGATTTGATGATTCAAGTGTTTTTACTTAATGTGTTTGTAACATTACAATCCAGATTTGATTTTAAATTAATTTTTGTTTTGAAAAATTTTTTAAGAAATAAATTTTGTATTTAAGTTCCTCCAGCCCATTTTTTAAAAATCAAGTCGGGTATTGTGTTTTTTAGAGCATTGGACAGTATTTTGATAAAGGGTGAAAGAAAAAACTAGACTGTTTCCCTTGTAACTTTCAGGAAATTTTTTTATCAAAAAATAAAATTTTTCTATAACACGGACATTTGTTGCGAATTAAAAAAATTTTCAGCATTTTTTTGCAGGAGATGTTGTTGCTTTTAAAAATGGAAAAATAGTAATTCATAACTGATTTAAAGTTTTAGGATACAAAAAAAGAGAAAATTTTTTGAAATGCTTATCAAAAATTTTTTTAATATCTGCTAGTTTTTTTGGCCCGCCCCCATAAAATGGCAGGGTTGTGTTCCCTGCCCCGTCATTCCGTCCTTCCGTCATCATATCAGTTTCCGTTCATTATCTTAATAACCCTTGCCACATATTTGAACTCAAATTTGACATATGGATATGTTCATGAAAGAAAATACGGTCAAGTTCGAATTGGTCATGGTTCGATGATTTTTCTGGCAGAGTTATCTGCCCCTTTTTACATTGAAAATAATATGAAATTTTCAGTTACCGTTCATTGTCCTCCCAACGGTTTTCAAACATCAATTCAAAATTGACATATGGATATGTCATGAGAAATACAGGAAGTTCGAAATTGGTCATGGTTCGATGATTTTTTTGGCCAGAGTTATGGCCCCTTTTTACTTCTGAATAATATATGAAATTTTCAGTTTCCATTCCATTAAGCTCCCCATGGTACAACACATTCTACTCAAACTTGACATATGGATAGGTCAAAGGGAATGCGCAGGTCAAGTTTTCAAATTTGGTTCATGGTTCAATGCATTTTTGGCAGGGGTTATGCCCCTTTCACTTTTGAAATAATATGAATTTTTCAGTTTCTGTTTATTATCTCCCCCAACAGTATTAAACATTCAACTCAAATTTGACATATTGATACGTCAAAGGAATGCGCAGGTCAAAATTTCAAATTTGGTCATGGTTCGATGATTTTTGGCAGAGTTATGCCCCTTTCACTTTAAAAATAATATGAAATTTTCAGTTTCCGTTTATTATCTCCCCAACAATATTACACATTCAACTCAAATTTGACATATGGATATGTTTTTGGAATGCGCGCACCAAGTTCGAATCTGGTCATGGTTCAATGATTTTTGGCAGAGTAAATGCCCCTTTCACTTTTGAAAATGATATGAAATTTACAGTTTCTGTTCATTATCAACCCAACAGTGTTACATATTCAACTCAAAATTGACATATGATGATATGTCAAGGGAATGGGCAGGTCAAGTTGGAATTTGGTCATGGTTTTCGATGATTTTTTGGCAGGGTTATGTCCCTTTCACTTTGAAAAATAAATATAGATACATCTTAGGAATAAGCAGTTTAAGTTTTGAATTTGGTCGTGGTTCAATGATTTTGAGGACAAACTTATCTTTCCTGAATGTTGGAAAAATTTTGAACTTTCAGTTTCAGCACTCATACTTTTGTGGAAATGTATATAGCCATTATGTTGGCTACAAATATGCAATATGCTATTTTTTAAAAGGTTAAGACTAAATAATTTCAGTGCTTGAACATTGTATAAAAATGGTTTGTGTTAACATTGAAAAGTTTTAAGGGCTTTTGAACTTAGAATGAAAAAAAATAATAATTTGTGCAAACAAAATTTGGAAACTAAAAA